TTCTTGTTTTCGTGCTATACGTATAGACGAAGAGGAGACTTGGAAAATGGACAACAGGAGAAAAAACATACTGATACAAACTCACAGGCTTGAGAGACTTCTTGTCAATCAGCAACACATTGAACATGCTGTGGACATCTTGGAATGACACCACACCACTGCTGTTCTTCTCCAGAACCTACATAGACACCCACCCACCCACACACCACCCACACACACGTGCACACACACGTACACACACGTGCACACACACAGACACACACATGCATGCACACACGCACACACAGACACACACACAGACACAACGAATAGGCACAGCAATGTAAACACATAGTTAAACTTGGATGTAGAGGCAAGGATGAATTTATAGGACGAACATGGACCAAAGGAACTACAAGGTCCGCTATAAATTATAATGTCCACTAGCACCGTGACAGTTAGTTGTAGAACGTCAGTACCGTCGGCCAGTGTCGTGCAATGTTATCGAATGAGCTGATTGTCAAGTAACGGGTGGTGTTAGTGGACATTATAGCGTAACTTGTATTTCCTTGGTCCTTTTTCTTCCTATAGATCAATGTAAATACCCCAGCACAACGGCATGCTTGGAGATGCACAATAATAGATGAAGCTTGTTCTCTCATTTTGAATTTCCAAGTATACACATACACACAGACACACACTTACACACGCACAAACACACACAGACACACAAAAATTAAAAATTTCACGGTTGGCTTGAGACTCAGACTGAGTTTTCAGCATCTGTAGGAACGCCACCACCCTGCAAAGATCTAAGGTGTGGGTGCACAAATAGTAGTGAGATACACACACAATCAGAAACACACCTCAGACCTCAGACATGCCCATCGCGGAAGCGATGATAGCGAACAGCTATGTTAGACATAGCAACTTGTGCTGGGATTATACCATTCAACAGCTTGCAAGGCTGATGAATTGACCGCCACTATTTTAGAACACACACACACACGCACACAGACGTAAACATGCAGCATGGCCTGCAGACTCACTTCATGCATTAGGGGCTTGAGGATCTCCAGGGAGCCAAACTCTGACTTGTAAAGCACTTCACGGACGAGGCGAGTTGAAACAACATCAGATCTGAACACGAAAAAGACAATGATATGATTATGACTACCGTATATCTCTTTACCTTGGCTTCTTTTTCCAAACTGGTGCAAGTACCCCCACCCCCATCCAGGTCGCTGACCTAGCTGAACCGGCTATGGAGCAGACATCGGTACACTATCTCGTTAACTTGCCGGACTGTTAGTCATAACTCATAACTTTATTGGTCCTTTCTATTTACTTTTTTTAAATACTATTGGCTCAACATCTGAGTTATGATATGATTAGCAGTCACACATGATAAATAGCATTAGCACTTGCAATCTACGCTTACCCAGCTGATGATGGATGCTTGCGCAGAACCTCAAACGCGGCTCGCAGTGCTACAGTGCGTCGCTTAAAGCTGGCATAGACTGATGTCTGTGTTTGTGCAAGCAAGTGCAGAAGAAACAAGCAAAGAAGCAAGGCACATAAGACACAAGGCAACGCGGACATCATCAACAGAAATGCCAGAGATCTATAGAGAGTGCTGTTGGAGGTTGCATCTGTCACACATGTACTGGTACTAGAATAATCCAATACATGTAGTAGGTCTCTGATGAACATGGCTGTTACGCTATTACGTAACTGCTCACCTGGAAATAGCCTCGGAACTGCTTGAAGATGATGGCAGTGAGCAGGTTCAACAGGCAGAACGTACCTACAATATACAGGAAACACAGGATTGATTCCACGACAATGTCAAGCAATCATTTCACTCTGTGCGTGCAGTGGATTGACAAGCATCAAGCTGGCACCCAATGATTCCTACACCACAACCAGGCCATTGCAGGAGAAGATAGTATCTGAGCATCACCCCCCCCCCCCCCCCCCCCCCCCAGCACTCTCAGATGGCAATGGAGAACATTACAAGCAAGAGCCTGCATCAAACACCTCCTCAGCACCACTCACCAATGCCGACATAGACAATAAAGAACAGTGCGTACAGGCGATTCTCGGTGTATGCTGGAATCATGACTGTATTGAACACATACAAAGAGCACAACGATGACGACGACGACGACAACAACAACAACAACAACAACAACTCAAGAATACATACAATGGGCACAATGGCAACATCCTTACAATTGACATGTGCACACATCGATGTAGCAGATTGCCAAGCAAAACAGCGGCGACCCCCCTTTGCATATCGTGAGTATAAGTACTGGCAAGCACTGCAACGTGGCATGAGCCTCCAGAGATGCAGAAAGCACGGGTGGACTGTACTAACCATCGGGATTATTCGCCGTAGTCAACAAGACGAGTAAGCTGATGAACGCCTTGTCCATGGACTTGAAATAGACGTTGCCTTCTTCATCAACGCCACTGATCGGTACAGACACATTGTCGATCGGCGTCAGAGATCCAGTGTGATTTCCTGAACTACCGTATTTTCTCTACAGAGCAGAACAAGGAGATGGCCAACATAATTGTTTTCACGGGGTCGCATCCCAGTCCAGCTCCGTAGAGGTATGACTGTACACAAGTGTACATACTAACGTTAGTACACAATGCAGCTTCACAAAGAGGTCGTGTGAAAAGAAGGACGCACAAAACTGAACACAGACATTCAGCACTGCTATACAGTCAGGCCAGCATTGCCTCACAGATCAGCACTGAGATCAGATCAGCATTGCCTCACAGATCAGCATTGCTACTGGGATCATAATCATACTGAGGTGTGGTAGTGAGACAATGCATAAAGTGTGCTTACTTCGGGTGGGAACAGCAGCATGCCCAACATCGTGAAGAAGTAAATATGAAAGAACAATAGCAGCAACACACTGCAAGCAAACAATACAAACAAAAGCCACACAAACAGACAATCAAACATATGTGCATACATGTGTCTGGTTCGTGACGGCTTCCAGGAACGCACTATGTCACAAAACACGCATAAACACGCATTGTCTCCATTGCCCTGCCGTGTCTGATGAATCGAAAGTAATAGTAATAATAATAATAATAAGAAAGGTTTGCTCCCCACACCTACTTCGTAATAATAATAATACTCATAAAAAGGACACACTTCAGGCTCATTACAAACATCTTGAAAGTTTTTGTCTTCACAAGTATACTTTCAAGCCTTCTCGTCAGGTGAAATACAGGCAAGGGAAAAGGAACAGGAACAGTGGATTAAATACAGTAAGAAGGTGGTAAAACAGCGCAAAAAGAAAGAAAGAAAGAAGATAGCTAAAGTAAACAGCGAAAATTGCAATAATGACACAAAGGTGCAAATGCGAGAAAACTCAATAAGCGTGACATGTAGTGCGACAACAAGAGACAACCACCGGACATACATGTAACTAACGAGGTTTTGACGACCTACCTAACAGCCTAAGTGTGAATTTGATTTGTTTCTGCTTGCAAAGGTTGGGTTTCTTTGTGTGGATGTATACAGCTTCCAAAACATTCAGCAATCTAGCACTGCGTACACGTGACACAATCGAAACGCTTTTTGAGTTTTCTCGCATTTGCACCTTTGTGTCATTATTGCAATTTTCGCTGTTTACTTTAGCTATCTTCTTTCTTTCTTTTTTTGCGCTGTTTTACCACCTTCTTACTGTATTTAATCCACTGTTCCTGTTCCTTTTCCCTTGCCTGTATTTCACCTGACGAGAAGGCTTGAAAGTATACTTGTGAAGACAAAAACTTTCAAGATGTTTGTAATGAGCCTGAAGTGTGTCCTTTTTATGAGTATTATCGCATTTTTGTCTCAGAGGAAACTGTTAATAATAATAATAATAATAATATTACTTGTAAATAATAGCACATTTCGCGTAGTAGAACACTAAACAATAAAGTAGTTCAGTGTTTTTTCCGCTTCTGTCTTATGAGCATCATCACCAAGGTGTAGTAGCTGCGGATACTGATTTCTCCTCGAATCGAAAGTGCACGCTAGAAATGCATGAATGGGAAACCGGGATGAAAAGGTCTGCATTAACACATCAAACTGCTGCCATTCGAGAAGTGTGCAAAAGACCATGGCAGCTCGCTCCCATCAGGAGTAGCAAAAGAGTTGAAGGTGTGCATAGTTCTTCTGCACTGTGCGTACAGTTATAACATGTCCAGCGTGCAGACAACACGCACATGACTGTTCAAAAAGACATTGTTGACACTAACCTGACTATCTCTGGAATCAGCTTCACTATGCAATGTAGCTGCAAACAACACAAGTCATACATATACACCCCGGCACACACACCGAGATATGTACGCACATACATACGCGTATAGACATGCACACACCACACACACCACACACACCACACACACACACACACACACACATACACACACAGATAGACATGCATAGACACACAATGAATGCTGTTCACATAATTATACCGTATGTCCGCACCTTTAAAGCCTTGGCGGTATATTCGATTATAAAGCCAGTCTCAGTTATAAAGCCATGGGCTTCATAAATGAAATGATATTTGAAGTATGTTTTGCAAAAATGAAGGAGTAAGCACCATGCTAGCACACTTACAGCCCAGCAGGAAGGGCGAAAAAGTAGATTTAGAATGAAATTTCTGTGTGGACTTTGACTTTTATGGCATGGCGTAGTGGGTGAGTCATTTTGCATCTAAAATATGTAGGAAAGCAGCG